TTTAATATTTTAGATTCATTTGTAAAGATACTACTAGTTTCAGATATGGTATATAAGGAGTGTTTCAAAAATTATAATACATCATTTTGTGAATTTTATGGAAATTTCATGTAATATCAGTGTCAAATTTCAATGAATACATGTCAATACCAACAAACCTATTGTTTTGATAGACAGTATTTACAGTTAAAGATTTTGCTGCTCTTGACAAGAAATAAGTCCAGGAATAACAATTTTTTAAAGGAACAATCTGCATAGGAAGTCAAATATCCATCTCCTATCAATTCCTTTATAAACAAATTATTTTTTGTCAAGCTACATTTTAATATGTTTTAATTTCACAAATATATTGGAATTTTACAATTTCTACAGTTAATGACTCAAATTTAGTCAACATTTGTATATTTTCAATACCCTTGATCATGTAAGAGTCACATGCTCAGAAGTTTAATGAACTAGGATGTAAATGGACAAATAATACCCTGGCTTAATATTCTCATGGGGACAGTAGATTTTATGTAGTTGTTGTGTCTATCTATGAGTTTATTTAAAATGAATATTAGTGTTCTAAATCAATATGTACACAGAGAGTTGATTAATAAATGATCTTTTCCCCTGACACAAAGTAATATTTGTTTGACCCTAAATTTAATATATATCAATATTTTTGGCATATACCAAAAGTATGATATATTCCTTCATCGATTTGTATATTATTTTCCAGGAGAATAAAATACACTTTGGCATGCACTCATAAGGAAGAGAAAAAATAAATGCTAAAGTAAATCCATATATAAATGCAAAGGTAAACAAAAGTAAAAATAAACAAAAGCATCCCATTACATAGAACTACATTCAAATATGACAGTCTACTGAATTTAAACCAATTTTCTAATGGGAATCAAAATATGATAGCACACACACACACAAGATTATATGCATGCTCATACATATGCACATACAATATAGAAATGTATATATATGTCTACATATATATACACACACTTAAGTGCATACATAAAAATGACAAAGTATGACAAGAAATGACAAAAAAATTTATCTCATCTGCCAATTTTAATTAATTGGCAGTAGGTGCCTGAAGTACCTACTTCAAAAAGGTTTAATCTCAAACATTTTTAGGGAAAAAATGGCATGATAAATGACTAATGTTTGTCATGGACTAAAAAAAATTAATAATTAATCTTTGTCTAATTTCAAAATGAAATTTGTATTCTACACAATTTCATAGTACTATAATCAATAAAATGGTGTAAATATATTTAAATTTGTGTAGTGTAGTTACAGATACCTTTATGAGTGATAATGAAATAATGCTTATGTGTTTTAACGGAAAAAAAAAGAACAAAGAAATGAACCACAGCAATTACCAAAAGAACAATCACAAAAGTAACACCTAGTACCTACAGGAACTCCACCAGGTGGAACCTATATGCAAATTAGACATGAAATAAACACTGTAAATGTAAATTATCAAGACCACACATATGAAGAACAAACAAGTAAATAAAAAATACATATACTAATGTTCTTTCTTATAGATATATATAGAGAGACATATACAAATATATATGCATATATAGGTTTATATATGAATTGCTTACATTTATACAATATGCTTCTTAAAGTACTTGTACTACACCAGAGTTTCAGTTTTTACTGTGACCTTTAGTATTCTTTCTTCCTGAAATCTACAGTTGGAAGAGCATCAGCACTCACCAATCCCCACTATTATTTCTTAAAACTTCGTCTTACTTTCCACTGAATTGAAGAGAAAAACACAACTTAATTTTTTTT